GTCGATAAGAGAGAGAGAGAGAAAAAACAACTTTAATATTATAATTACATATTCCCGGAAATACATGGTTATAATTCTGAAGAGAGAAAAAAAAACTTTTAACATTATAACTATGTATTCTCAGAAATTCATAATTATAAAATTTTGACCGCACCAAACCTTATATATAGTCACTTTACAAATCATTTTGCCTATGAGATTTGCATTCATCATTTAACAAGACAAGAAAAAGTTTTCTACACACACAATATTTTGTGGGGCCCACATTTTTTGAAGCAAAAAAAAAAACTACAGCACGCAAAACGAATCTCTATAACATAACACAATCACTTTTCCTACAACATAAATTTTATAAAACTCATTGCCTATATATATAGGAAAAGTACTTGTAATTTTAAATGAAATAACTTTGTGCCATTTTTAATAAAACTACGTTGTTTTGATGTGTTTTTGTTATTTTTTAACATTTTTCTTTTTTATAAAATTAGGAAGAAAAAAAAAGTGGAGGAGAGAGAATACAAAAATACACTAAAACAACGTAATTACAAGTCTTACTCTCCGTTTTAACTGTTGATTTACGCCTATTTAACAGTTATACTTTAGGAAGTAATACTAATTAATTAATTATTAATTACACTACAAATAATAACCGTTGATTTTCGTCCATCAACGGTTGAGATGAAAAATTCTAAATCTTACTCTGGAGTTAAGAGAACCCTTATATATATATATATATATATATATATATATATATATATATATATATATATATATATATATATATATATATATATATATATATTATGTATGGAAAAATTATATTTATAATTTTTTTTCATTTACAAACTCTTACAACCAAATATTAACCATTTATTTTCATTAATCTGACGGTTATAATTTCACTTATTAACTAATTATTAATTACTAATAAATTATAGGGTTTGCTTTTTCTGCAGTTACTGCAGATAAGTTATCTGCAGTAAGTCAATACGACGTCGTTTTGGAACGGAAATCATGGTGTTTTTGAAATTTTAATTCATTTTAGGGTTATAATAGTCTTTATATTTATATTTTTTTAAGATTTCAATACCAAAACGACGTCGTTTTGGGAATAAATGCAGATATCTTCTCTGCATTAACTGCGGAAACATTTTTCCCTAAATTATAATCATCAGATTGACAAAAATCAACAGTTAAAATTTGATTATTAGAGTTTGTAAACAAAAAATATATAAATATAACATTTCTCATATATATATATATATATATATATTGTTTTTCATGTTGTTAACGGTTTCTTTTTTTCCCTTTTTTTACAAATAGATCCACGTAAACTTTATATATTTTTATATTTTTATGTATGTAAAGGAGATAATAATTAAATAACACATATATTAAATCTTAATTGACTGCAAACTCTCCTTTTCTATGTATAGTGATATATTTTATAAGAAAGTCTACAGGGTTTTCGGAAAAATTCGAACACACGTTTACCACATGACTTATCTAACTTTCATGTATCTTTTCAAGTTTAAAATGACAACGGTGATCGAATAGATCTCTAGAAAAACTGATGCATAGAAGATTAAGTCCATTTATTTTTTATTTTGTATGAATATCACATCTGGTCAGTTGTCATTTAATTTTTCTCTTTTTAGATAATATAATATTTTTTGATTACGTATCATAAAATGAATGATAAATATACTGAATCTTTTATGTATTAATTACTCTAAATATTTATTGACGATGATCGTGAGAGGAAGTGCCGTATGGTACACCAATCAGAAGCATAATTGTACGAATATTAATGCTTATTATGTATCTTGTCAACATCATGAACGAGAAATAGATAGGATGAATCATCGTACTTATCCAATGAGTTCAAAAATAAAAGAAGTAAAAAAGTGTATCATTTTAAATAATATATTTTATGTAATTTCACTTTTATAAAAAAGTGGAATCTATATATTAAAAAAAATTCGCTTTCTCTTTTATAATTTGTCTCTCTCTTTTATTTAAAATGAGATAATTTTGTGTCATTTAAAATGACACACTATACTAAATGGTGGTAGCTCTTTCATCAAAAAAAATAATAATGGTGATAGCTCAGTTGGCGCATGAGAGCTGAGCAAGTAGAGGTGAGAGAGCATGTGTTCGATCCTCTCTAGTACTACTTTTGGGAGGAGTTTAAAATCTTAATCCTAAACTCTCTCTGAATCAAACTAATCGTGAAACATAGAACCGATTCAAATATTTCAAAAAAAAAAAAATTAAAAAAAATGACACACTATTTCCATAAAAGAATTAATGACATTTTGTTCACGGGGCTTTCCATGTCAGAACTCACACCGATTGACCCAACCACAAAACCTATAAATTTTTGCGATGCAGGAAAATGGGGTGACACACGACACGCATAGAAAACAAATCCTATATCATTCATCCATTTGCGTCTTGGAGTTGAATACAAAGGATTTGTTTTGAAAGACTAAGCTAACCAAGACTTCAAATATCTTGTTTGGAATCTCGAGGAGCAGGTAGAGTACAAATTTGGTTTTTCATTTTTATCACAACTATTTTTATTATTTCTGTTTTTTTTATTGAAATTCTAATTTAATAATATTAAAAATAAATAAATAAAAATAAATAAATAAATAATAATAAATAAAATAACCTATCCATTCATTTTAATATAATGATATTAAAATAGTTATATCACCGATCTATTTAATTTTTCTATCATTATTATTTTTTTATCACTGTTGATTATATTCAAATCAATATTCTCAATCATAATAATATTTTTTATTTTATTTATCTTTCTCTTATTTTTCTCAGCTAATTACACCAATTGTTTTTTTACCTTTAATTTTAATGTAATCAACGATGATAAAAAGTAGTAAGGATTGGAAGATTAAATAGGTAAGCAATATAATATTCTTCAATCATATAATGTAAAAAAAATGTAGTCATTCATTAACAATTAATAATTATAATTTAATAATAAATATCGTAAAAATGATTTTTTTTTAATTATCTTGATTACTGACTGTTAATTATAAATAACTGTGATTTTGTTAAAATAACATATTAGAAGATTTAAGGAAGTAAAAAGATTGAGTGGATGGGTATATAAGTGTATAACTTTGAGCTGAATCTTCAGAAGGATTGAATATTAGTGTGTAAAAGCAAGGGAACTTTGGAGTAAATTCATATTGATTTTTAGTATCAATAATTAGATTATGGTCAAATTGTCTTGCAAAATTCAAGCTTTTACATTATAGAGTGTCATTAGTTATATGTTTACTAAGGTTAATAGTATGTCCTGAATAAGAGTATTGATTTAAAAATTAAAATTTTAAAATAATAACGCTTTTTTTATCATTGTTTTTGTGTAATCTGTGTGAATTTAATAAATTTTTCAAAATTACATCCGTGTAATAAAATGAAGGGAGAGAAATGACAATACAAATAAACAGAGAAGGAGAAGAGAAGTATGATTCTCATTCAGCTGTAATATCCAATTCAAATAATGTCAATATATAAAATTATAATCATAAATGAGGGAGTAATACTCTATTAATGTGGAGGTTCTGAAATCATGAATGAGAAATAATTAGACTATTAGTACCAACGATAACATGATTTAAATAATTCATATTTTACAACAATCTATAATTTTTTATGGACTATTAATATATGAGTTATATTACTCTCACGAAAATATATTATCTCATTTGTAGACTATAAAGCACGAACAAGCTCCCTGAGAAAAAATTTATGTGTCGGACACGTGTCCGACACGGACACGTTCGGACACGCGTCCGACACGCGGTTATTATTTGAGGACACGTGGTCAACTCTCCGACACATTTTTCGGACACGCGGCCAACTTTTTTGGACACGCAGTCAACGTTCGGACATGCTCGGACACGTTTTTTTTTTTAAATAAATTTATTTTTATTTTGTTAACTAAATATAAAAGAAATAATTTATAAATTAATTTTTTTCTGTTATGAAATTTGACATGAAAAATTAACAAAGTACGAAAATTTATTTATATTTATATTTATGTTATAAAATTTAAATATTTGATTGGTTATATGACTTATTATGGACTCTTATATGTATTAAATATAAATTATATTATATATATTAAAAATTTTATTTAATATCAAAACGTGTCCCAACGTGTCCAAATATGACATTTTATGTGTCGGCGTGTCGTGTCGTGTCGTGTCCCATGTCCGTGTCCGTGCATCATAGTTTGTAGATACAATTATATGGTGGCCCTATTATTTATTAAAAAAAAGAGAAAGCCACATAAATCGATAAATTTATAGGAAGTTTTATTAATCTCATATAATATAAGAGTAATATAATCCTTAATATATCATGACAACAATTTAGAATTTTTTACGATAAAATATAAAGAACACCTTTATCTGTACATCATTTGTAAAAATAATTCATCATAACTCAAATCATATATATTTACTTTCTATAAAAAATTTCACCAACTAGGTGAATAGTTAAATTTTCATCATTTGATAAGATCTGATAAAGATTAACGAATTGGGTTATCAAAATTTAAACATGAGAAGTTCTCTTCAATAAGCCGGGAGTTAATTTCACATTATTTGACAAGATTTAATAAGACTAATGAATTGAGTTATCAAATTTTTTACCATGAAAAGTTCTTTTCAGTAAGTCAATGGTTAAATTTACATTATCTTGGTTGTCCATTGTCGTTTAGTTAAATAAATAATCATACATTGTTAGGCTCAAAAGGTAGCCATGATGATTAGTTTCCTTCCACACATATTTAATAAGACAACAAAGTTTGATTTTCCCAAGTTGTGTTTCTAAAACACTCAAATTGATAGACGTAACTGACATGTTTTTGTTTTCATGCACAGATAAACCAAATTGTGGTTTCTCAGAGAGTAATAGAAAGCCCATCGCTGTATATAATAAGCATTCCAAAGTCCCAAAACACTAAGCTAATAAGAGGTTACAAAAACTCCAAGCTTAGCCATGGAAAGTGGTGTTGTGGCAGTGAACCATGAATCAAAAGCAACTTCAACCATCACCATTAAGGGTATTCTCAGCCTTCTAATGGAAAGCATTGATGACAAACATGATGATAGCAAGAGAGTTATATCTTTGGGCATGGGTGACCCAACACTTGCCACGTGCTTCCACACCCCAAAGGTTGCTGAAGAAGCTGTTGTTGAAGTTCTTCAAACTCACAAGTTTCATGGCTATGCTCCCACTCCTGGTCTTCTTCAGGCCAGAAAGTAATGTTTCCTTGTTTTTCTCGCCGTTTGGGAATTTTTTAATTTTCTTGCCCTTGTTACTATTGTTGTTCATTTTTTGAGTTCTGACTTATTGGTCACTATTTTCAGGCTTGTGGTGTTGAATTGGATGCCCTCTTTCTGTCTTAATCACTTGGAATTTATTCTTAATTTGGCATAGAAATTCTGTACTATTTTTGATATTACTGAATTAATTGTACTCATTAACTTGTTTTAGATTTTTTTTCTGTTCCCCTTTTCTCATTTTCTTTTGTCTTTAAGTGGGTTATTTAGTTTATTTATTTATTTTGTGGCAGGAGTGGGTAGGGGGATATTCATATTAACACAGTTTCATTCATTGCTGGGTCTGGTGTAACAATTTAGCTTCAATGTAATGTTTTTTAGTTCCTATTCAATTATGTTATTAACTAAGGAAAAAAGACCTCTTAGAATGGGAACATAATATCTTACATTCAGTGTTGGAATATTGTTTGTGACCTTTTTGCTCCTGTAGTTGAATTAACTTGCTTGTGTTTTTGTTTCATCTTCTTATACTATTTTATTTTTAATTGTATGCCAACTAAGTTACTTTGCATGTTGGTGACAGAGCAATTGCTGAATATCTGTCTCGTGATCTCCCTTACCAGTTATCAACTGATGATGTTTTTATCACTTGTGGATGCACACAAGCTATTGATGTTTCAGTGGCGATGCTTGCTCGCCCCGGTGCAAACATCTTGCTTCCAAGACCTGGCTTCCCAATCTATGAACTTTGTGCTGCATTTAGACAAGTTGAAGTGAGGCACTATGATTTGCTACCAGAGAAAGGTTGGGAGGTTGATTTGGATGCTGTTGAAGCTCTTGCAGATCAGAACACAGTTGCATTGGTGATTATAAACCCAGGGAATCCTTGTGGAAATGTATACAGTTACAATCATTTGGAGAAGGTTAGTTGCTTCAGATATATGGCCCCAGACCAAATAACTTGAGAGTCAGAGAACTTGTTTCTAAAATTTGAGAGCATTAACAGGAGTTATTGAAATCGTTTTTATATTGGACTTAGATTGCAACAACTGCAAAAACGCTTGGAACTATTGTAATTGCTGATGAAGTTTATGGTCACCTTGCATTTGGTGCCAATCCTTTTGTTCCAATGGGAGTTTTTGGCTCTATTGTTCCTGTTCTCACTCTTGGCTCCCTGTCAAAGAGATGGATAGTTCCTGGATGGAGGCTTGGTTGGTTTGTGACAAATGATCCATGTGGCACTTTTAGAAAACCCAAGGTACTTCCTTGAATAATATTTTTATATTTTTATATCTTAACTCTTACATCATTGATCACATGGTAGTTGAACAATCAAACTGCAATTAGAAGTCCATTATTCAATCTGGGAAGAGATCCCTGACTGATCTTATAACTGCTCTGTGATTTATGTTCTTTTATGCTGGACATGGATAGGGGAGCCTTGGCACAACGGTTGATATGTTCAAATCATGTAATCAGCCTCTTGCAAATGCAAGGTAAGGCTGCATATTATAGATTCACACAAGGGATCTGACCCTTCTACATCCATATAATGGATCTGACCCTTCAGTAGACCATGCTCATATGGGGAGCTTTATAGCACCATATTATCCTTTATGCTGGCAAGGGAATTGATCTTTTGTCAGTATGTTTGTTGGTGGTTCCAATATATCTATGTAATGCTTTATTTTGTTTTTGTCTATCTACCTTTGTTTCCAATTTGTTTGCTTCACTCTTTTGTACTATTCTATATTGAACTTCAATAATTGACCGGATTCAACTTTTAGTACTTTAAAATATAAAAATTTAATAGTGTAAAGATTTTACTGCGGCTTCTAAATTCAAAATGGTTCTTCATTGTGTTCAATCTCCTTCTGATGTGATGTTGAAAATCATTTGTTTCTTGTGCAGGTAGTTGAGCGCATTAAAAAGTACTTTGATCTTTTGGGAGGTCCGGCCACTTTCATCCAGGTTTTCTAATTTTCTCTCTGCATTCTTATTTTCAAGTAAAGAAATGTATGCATGTCCTCTTTGGCTAACAATAATGTTCTAATTGAAGCAACTCAATTTTACTTAAAGCTTTGATACTACCATCTCAAAAGGAAATACAAAAAATAAAAAAAGGAAGAAAGAAAAGGGAAGAGTTTCCATTCAAAATTTGTATGATGATAAATATAGAAGCATGAATTAGAAAAAAAGTGTCACATTTCAAAGAAAGCCATAACAGACTGTATTTATATTTATTCTTGCAAAGACATTTTGCTGACAAAATATTCAATTCTGCTCTGAGAACTCAAAGTCATTTTAATGTAGTACTCAAATTCCAGAAATAGCCTCTTTGCAAATATGCTAGGGTAAGACTGCATACAAGGATGGCCCTCACTTCACTCTCGCTGGTTGGAGTTTAATGGAGAGTGGTTTTTATTCTCATGCTGCTGCTACATCGTGGTCAAATCCAAGTTATTTAGTGCTGATATATGTCTGAACTTCATCCAAAATTCTTGCTCAGCCAGAATTTCTTTCCATGACATGAAATCATATATTACTCATTTCTTCTATCTAATTGATAGCATTTCTGGTTTTACAGGCGGCTGTGCCTCGTATAATTTCGCAGACAGAAGAGGTTTTCTTCGAGAAAACCATTGACAATTTGAAGCATACCTCAGATTTATGTTGTAAAGAGATAGAGGATATTCCATGCATATTTTGCCCTTGCAAACCAGAAGGGTCCATGGCTATGATGGTAAGAAATTGAGGATATATTAGAATTGGAGTTCTTTGAAAACATAAAGATACATCTTTATTTATTCTTGAATGGAATGCAGGTGAAACTAAACATTTCCCTTCTGGAAGATATTAGCGATGATATTGATTTCTGTTTCAAACTTGCAAAGGAGGAATCTGTTATCATTCTTCCAGGTACAATTGTGAAAATCATGCTTTAATTTGGCATTTTGTGCATATTCTATTTGGATAGCCATTTTCATTTGTACAGAAAAATAAATGCATTCATCAGTCTTTTCTGCGGTATCCTCAATTATATCATCTGTTTTACTTTTATCATGAAATTATGAGTCACTTTTATAGGAAAAACTTCGATGACACTCTGATCATGTTCACATCTCGCTATAATTTATGGGACCTTAACGTTTCCAGCTTGAGTTTCAGCAAGTGCCTTTTAGAGACTTATTAACCAAAGTTACTATTATGATATAACATACAATAAAACCCTTGTTGGTATTTTGTTATTGACTAAAACCATTGAAAGATTTTAAAATCCGTCTTCGTATAAAGTGTTAAATATCATAGATACAAGAGGAAATGATAGTAATCCTTGTTATATTAAACTACACAACATTGGTGCTATTATATAGCAAACCAATTGAAGAATACAAAGAGACACACTCAATGTGGGACTTCTACACTATTAACACTAACACTCTTAACACTCCCCCTCAAGCTGTAGCATATAGATCATATGCTACAAGCTTGATACATAAATAATACTCCCATTAGGAACCAAAAACAACAATGCTACATCAACGAAATGAAATGACCATGTACAACAAATCAACTGGAATGACCATCAGTCTGAAGAGCTGATAAAGAGACAGTGCTGGAATGGACATCAGAGCATGGATGGTGCCGGAATTATCATCGGCAAGACAACTGAGCTGACCAGGACATCAGCATCAAGATCCCTCTCAGACATTTCATTTAACAGTTGGTGAGCAGCCGTGGTTTCCTCTTGACTATGCTACAAGCTTATTACAAGAAGACCAAGTAACATAACATCAAAATAAATCTCCTAAATGAGAAACCAAAAATCAACAATGTGCTAAAAATGGCGTCGAAATGAACATCAACATGGAAGATGCCGGAATGATCATCAGCAAAGACAATTGTGCTGGAATGACCATCAGCAACATAGATAATGCTCCCCCTCAAGAGGAACTTCTAAACAGTGCCGAAATTATCATCGGCAAAGACAATTGTGCTGGAATGACCATCAGCAACATGGACAGTGCTCCCCCTCAAGAGGAACTTCTAAACAGTGCCGGAATTATCATCGGCAAAGACAATTGTGCTGGAATGACCATCAGCAACATGGACAGTGCTCCCCCTCAAGATGGATGATGAATAGTGTAAATACTCCATCTTGGGAAGAAAGAAGATTAAAGAAAAACAAAGCTTCGCGGAATCGAAAAAGTCGCCGGAGACAGCGGTGGGTCGTCGAAAAAGTCGTCGGAGACGGTGGTGGATTGCCGAAAAAGTCGCCGGAAAGTCATTGGAAAATTCATCGGAAAATTCGTCGGAGACGGCTGTCAACGGTGGGCGACGCGGTCAACGGTGGTCGATCAACGACAACGGTGGTCAACCCAACAACTTCCCAAGGATCATTCTTTTCTGATGTAACAGATCAGTCTAAGCTGCAGTCACAAAGCATACTAAGAAAAACCCGAAAAAGAAATAGCAACGGGAATCCCTCAAGGAGGGTGATATCTCTCTATAACCATATTGAAATTATGGAAAATAGAACTAAGTTAAACGGATTAAGATTCCTCTTGTTAGGCTCTAGATACCATGTTAAATATCATAGATACAAGAGGAAATAATAGTAATCCTTGTTATATTAAACTACACAACATTGGTGCTATTATATAGCAAACCAATTGAAGAATACAAAGAGACACACTCAATGTGGGACTTCTACACTATTAACACTAACACTCTTAACATAAAGTTTTCTGGCCTACATTTTCAAAATAGGTACAATTCCATGCTGCAGACAAATTTAGCTTGGTTGCAGAAACTTATTTTACATATGGATTCTTTCCTTCTTAACTGGCCATTTATTCTTTATTGATAATCTCAGACACAGGAATATTGGGGAAGAATATTCAGTTCTCTTATAGAACATTTTGAAGTGAGAAATATATGAAAATTTGTGGTCCTTAAATGCTTAGTCTTGAAACGAATGTGATTGAAAATTGCTTCCTCTTCAATGATTATTATTAGTAAATTCCTCCTTCCAAGTTATAACAGGGAAAAATGAGTTTCTTAAAAAAAAAAAAAAAACAGCCATTAAAACTCCCTAGAGGATAGGTAAGTAAACAATAGTTGGATTTTATCATTCCCCCTAAACAAAAAGGCTCCATTATTATTATTTAGTCTCTGCTACTTTGTTATCAGTTTTCTAATTATCTTACATTCAGTAACTGAAGTAACCTTACTCAGCACTAAGATAATAGCATAGAACAACAGTAAAGTATCTCTATTTGGCCCTACAAAAAAGTTTTCTTCATGGTCTTTGGAATAATGCTCTACTTTGAAAGCAATGGCAAGGGAATACAGTTCAACAAAACTGTTAATGAATGAAGTTGTTCTGTAGTGTAGGTTTCATGATGAAAACATTTTAACAAGAAATTTATCTAATTGGTTAACGGTTATTCTTATGAGGTAGAGGTCGCCATATCCTGCTCTCATTGCTAATGAGCTTATGTCAGGCACAGAGATAAATTCATATAATTCAAATTTCGTTTTTTTAAAATGAAAATAAGAGGGAGCTTGGAGTAGTGGTATACTCCTTTGTAACTGAAACGTCACATGTTCGATTCCGGGAAACATCCTCTTTTCAAATATGCAAAGTAAGGTTACGTATAAGAATTGTCTTATCCCATCTTTGCTAGTTCGAGTTTAATAGGGAGTGTTTTTTTTTTTTTAATGTAAATAAGCTGCATGATTAAAATAATTAAAGCATGGTAGATCATAATAAAGTCAGTTGATAAATCATATAATCTTTTATGGACCGTGCCTCACAAATTTGCTAGTGAATTTAGTAACAAACAAAATGGCAATTCTTTGCAGGAACTGCTGTAGGGCTAAAAGATTGGCTCCGTATTACTTTTGCTGCTGATCCATCTGCTCTTCGAGAGGGTATGAAAAGGATAAAATCTTTCTGTCAGAGGCATGCCAGAAAATTGTAAAAACAATAGTGAATCCTCAAATAAAATGTCTACTAAACGTGATGACCCTTGACTCTGTCTCCTGCAAAAGAAGTTATCTTCTCATCACTACTACACAAGAATTACATATTAACTTGTATTTCAATACAGCATACAGTGCCATTAGAAATGGACTATTTAACTGGACATTGCAACATTGTTACAGATGTAATCCTCTTCACAGTGAAACACCATCTTAATTCAAATACTATTAGGGGCATGTTCAGTTTTTTTAATCAATGAAAATTTATTTATATGGATCATCAATAGCCCTTGAGCTGGAAGTGGTACAGGAGTGTATCCACTTCCAATTGGATCATTATGATATAATTCACTGATTTCCACTTTTCAATCATGTACTCCCTAATTAAAAATGAGACCAGAGAGTTGTGTTTGTTATTGTGTCTAAGCTTCTAAGCTCTAACTAGGCAAATTATTATATTGTAGCCATAGGAAAATATGCCATTTGTCTCTCAATTTTGCAAAATTAGATGCAAATGGAAATGTAGAAAAATTTTAGCATGCTCTGATGTACGTAGAGGTGGCAAAGCGGGTAATCCGCATTATCCTACCAACCTGTCAACATATTAAAAATGTGAGATTTTGTCAAAAATTCCCCATAAACATAAAAGGGTATCAAATGAAAACCAAAGAGGTGTAAAAAGATAATTGCTTAATATTTTTTTAAATAAAAAATAAAAAACTAATTCGATGGGTCAACTTCCCCCTTCCTGTTTTGATCAGCTCTTATGTGGGGTGAGTTCAAATAGCAGGTTGAATGCCCCCGTTTTGCCAAATTTACTTGGTGCTTCCCTTGCCTTAGCTTTTGGAGCATGAAAGAAATTTCTCAATCAAGGTGTATACTTGATTGGCCCTAGTGTAAAAATCAAGTGTTTTTATCACTATATTGGATTTAGTATAAATCATGCTTTACATAGGGGACAATTATACTTGCTACCAAGATAAGTTTACCACTCTTATTTCCTCTTTAATATTATTAGATCAAATATAGATCAATTTGTGAAATTGAAGAGAGAGAAAAAAATTGGCAACCGTTGATCTGAATTTGATCTAACAGTAATCAAAGAGATAATAAGAGTGATAAGCTTGAGTTGGTGATAAGTATAACCACCTTATTACATATAACCTATTAATGAATAATCGCTAACAAAAATCTAACCAAAGACTTTTTATCAATACTCTTTGATCTCACTAATTAAGTTAACTTTCATTTGCATATCTTAGAATTAATTTGTAATACACAATCATATTTTACATCTCTCTCTCAAACTTACGCCGCAACAATATTTTGATTAGGTGATACTGTTTGAAATAAAATGACAATCATGATCCCAAAACTGTCATTCTAATAATAGTTTAAGATATTTATACAAAATGATATTTCACACTTAAAAGTAATTTTACTTCATAAAACAAAAGAGCAACTTACACTCTATATATCATCAGCAACCTCTGAGTATATGTTTGGTTACACCTCTTGTGTGTTGCATGAGGAACTTACCAAAGAAGGGTCAAATCCATGCCTTTATTAAACAATTTAAACAAATGCCTCTTGTCCCTTTTAGTTTCTTGGATCACAGAAGTTTCACCAAACAATTTTCCATAACACCATTTGATAAAATTCATCTTATACCTAAGATCCAAAAGGCATGCTATAGCCAAAATCGTACTATATTTAGATCAATACTGATTGAATTTATTGAACATTTTTCAAGCCATCTCCTTAATATAACCGTAGTCACTTTTGCTTGTATAGATTCGGCACTAATTTTGTCTCTATTCTGAAACTATCATTCCTTTAAAGATGTTTGCACTACAAAATAAAGGCTAAGCACAAGAGGAGATAAAAGTGATCATATATACCCTTCCTTATTTTTCTTCTTTTGTTTAATTGATTTATGTCAGCTATATGTCGTATGTCTATGGGGTTATATTTGCTTAGTTCAGTTTAAATAGAAAGAATTTTTAATCATATCTTCATGTTGTTGACTCTTAGAGTGAATCTTTTTAGATTTAAATTCATACATATATTTAATACTATACTTGAAATTTGGGTATGGAGAAACAAGATAAATGTATGTATTTGATATAGTAAAGCCATTTCTGCCTTAACTGCAGAAATGTTTATCTGCCGTAAACTAAATCTGACCAGTAAAACTTAGTGTAATGACTTTTCTTTTTCTTTTTTCTTTTTTAATTTGTGGGTACCATTTTTTTTTAAAAAAAATATGTCTTTGTGGCAGACATCCTTCTCTGCCTTTAAGGTAGATCCGACGGACCTATTTGAAATTATCATAAAAGCAATAACAACTTAGATCTGAAATGAAGAAGAGACATGGACTTAATTAAATAAATGAATGACAACCTGAATAAATTCTATAATGACCCAAATAATTAAATTACATTAATTAAAAATTAATGTCTAATTAAAGTGTTAATCAGTTAAAAATCCTAATTTTAGGGTTAAATTCCCACCAGGGACAAAATGGTAATTTGATAGAAACTGCCCGGATTGGGGCTAATTATGTGTGGTATACTCCACCTAAGCCCATTAATTAGGGAACCAAATTAGAAAGAGGTTAATCGGATGAAAAATCTAATTATACGAACAAAATTGCTTTTCGGGGCAAAAGTTCAATTAGTTGAAGTTTAGGGTAAAAATATAATTATGCAAAAGTTACCCGAAATTTTAAAATACTGTAGTTTCATACCATTAAATAATTTTGGTTAATGTTAAAATAACTGTTAGATGATTTAAATCATGGATTAGTGAAAGATTAAAGGTGGTTTTATTAAGGGTAAATTAGTCATTTTTCACATAAAGTGTTGACCAAAGGTCAAATTTCACTTAGGTGACTAAGCCACATCATTTTCACACATTTTTCTCTCTTCTTCCTTCCTTGAAGACACCTCCTAACCATGGAGCCCCTCTTCTTTCATGAAAACCAAAGCTTCAAACTACAACTTCATGATTTAGACTTGAAAAAGGGAATTATATTATTTGAATTGTGTGTTATATATGTACAAGATTTCTCTATTTAAAGAGAATAAATAACCTAATGGGCTAAGCCCAAAAGAATAAATAAATAAATAAAATTATTTACAACACTCCCCTCAAGCTTATAAATAGATATTTATCATTCTCAACTTGCTAGTAAACTCTTGAAACCTTTCGGAGGGAAGTCCCTTTGTCAGAATATCAACTAATTGAAATCCGGAAGGGATGTATGGAGTGGTGATCAACCCGCTATCAAGCTTCTCTTTGATGAAATGGTAGTTGACCTCAATGTGCTTAGTCTGTTCATGTTGAACTGGATTATGAGCTATACAAATGACGAACTTATTATCAGAAAGCAACTTCATAGGACTTTCATTTCTTATTTTAAGATTATCAAGTATAATTCTCAACCACAATAATTCACAAATGCCTTGAGCCATAGCCAGAAATTCAGCCTTTACACTCGATCTGGCAACTACACCCTGCTTCTTACTCTTTCATGTCACTAGGTTACCACAAAGAAACATACAATAACCAGTGGTAGATCGACAATTAGTCACGGATCAAGTATAATCTGCATCAGTATAGACTTTTAAAGAGAGATTGCCATCATGCCGGAACAACAGTCCTATACCAGGAGTAGCTTTAAGATACTGAAGAATTCTCTCCACTGCCTGCATGTGTTTTTCCTTTGGATTATGCATGAATTGACTCACAATACTAACATCATAAGCTAGGTTTGGTCTAGTATAAGCCAAATATATCAGCCTTTTAACTAACTGTTGATATTGCCCTTTATCAACTAGAGAACTCTCTTCTTCATAGCCAATATTGTGATTCTGCTAAATAAGAGTACTAGAGAGTTTACACTTAAGTTTTCCTACTTCTTTAAGAAGATCAAGGAAATATTTTCTCGGGCTGAAAAAAAAATTTCCTTTGAATGAGCTACCTCTATCCCTAGGAAATATTTCAATCTCCCAAGATCTTTAACTTCAAACTCAGAGGCTAGTCGTGCTTGTAGAAAATGTCTCTCAGCAATACCATCGTCTGTTATAATAATATCATCAACATACACAAGGAGCACAGTTAACTTCCCATCTTGGGAGTGCTTGAAGAGCAGTGTGTGATCTCCTTGACTTTGTTAGTATCCTAAGGCCATCATAACCTTAGTAAATCTCCAAAACCAGGCACGATGAGACTATTTCAATCCATATAAGGCCTTTTTTTAACCTGCAAACTTTATCCCCTCCATCCATAGAGTCAAAGCTAGGTGGAATCTTCATATAGACTTCTTCTTCTAACTCACTATTAAGGAAAACATTCTTCACATCAAATTGATTCATATCCTAGTTGTAATGGGCAGCAAGGGACAACAAAGCTCTCACAGTATTCATCTTTGCAACAGGAGAAAAATGTTTTTCATAATCAATGCCATGGGTCTGAGTGTAACCCTTAGCAACTAACCGAGCCTTATATCTCTCAAGAGTACCATCAGAATTGTATTTCAGAGCATAAACCCATTTGCACCTTATTGCTTTTTTTCTATCAGGTCTATCAACAACCTCCCATGTTTTATTTTTCTCCAAGGCATTCATCTCCTATTGCATGGCTTGAGTCTAATTCTCATCTTTTAATGCTTCATGTACTGATTTTGAGATTGAGATAGAATCTAGTGCTTAAATAAAGCTTTTGTGCCGTACAGAAAGGTTAGTAGAAGAGATAAAATGTGAGATAGGATATTTTGTACAAGACAGACAAAAAGGGCAAGATCTTTGGATACAAGATCTTTTCCTTTTTCTTAAGGCAATAGGTAAGTCATCAGAGGTACTAGGTAAGCTATTAGAAGCAACAGGAAAGTCATCAGAGACAACAATATTAGGTTTAGAAATAAGAATACTAGTAGGATCATAAGCAAGAGATTCAGGACTTACCAGAGGTTCAGACGATTGGGGTTGCTAGTGATGCAGTATGGGCTGCTTTCTCCTGTGATATACAAACTTAGGTGTCACAATCCTTCATATTTTCGATGTATTAGATGGCTCAGACACAAGAGGACCAGAAATAAGAAGAAGAGGTGTACGAGTAGACATGGAAGGTTTAGACTCAAAGAAAGAAGGTGATGTATCTACTGAAGAGCTACTCTCCCCCTAAAGACGAGGACTTGGGAAAAAGGACTCAGATTCATGAGTGACATCCATAGTGACAGAGAATTTTCGACTAGCAGAATGATAACACTTGTAGCCTTTTT